GTAGATGTTTTACTACCAACTGAAATCACTAGGGCTGTGTCTAGACAGGCATGATTTTGCACAAATACTTTTAACAGAAAAACTTTTCCGTTAAAAGTATTTGCGCAAGAGAGCGTCTATACTGGCATGTGCCTTTGCGCAAAAGATTTGCTTTTGCACAAAAGCATCCGTGCCAGTGTAGACGTTCTCTTGCGAAAGAAAGCTCCGATGGCCATTTTAGCCATCGGGCTTTCTTGCGCAAGAAATTGATCTTACCAGTCTACACTGGCCTCTTGCGCAAGAACACTTGCACAAGAGGACTTATCCCTGAGCGGCAGCGGCAGACTATTTGCGCAAGAAGCACTGATTTCATAGAGTGGAACATCAGTGTTCTTGCACAAATACTCGCAGCCAATGTAGACAGGCGGCAAGATTTTGCGCAAAAGAGACCGCTTTTGCGCAAAATCTTGCCAGTGTAGACACAGCCTAGGTCTTTCAGAGATTTTGCTTTTAATAAAAGTGTTCTATCTAGGCTGGAAACAGCGAACCAGAGCCAACAGGAGACGCAAGACCCCCCTTTCGGTCTGGGGTCAATAACCTTTTCAAACCAAAGAGCCAAACTATATCAAGCTTCAGAACAAGTGGTCAACAGAGAGCCATATAAGAATGCCTATCTGCAGGACTAAAGTATAAAAGTTATTGAGAAATTGACATAATGATTAGTAATAGCATAAATGAAACCTACTTCCAGACTTTATTTAATGGGACTTCTGCTGCATCTTTTTGCCCATTTCTTTGAAGTTTACATCATAACTTGTCAAATCCAACTTCATGCATGCATTTAGGCTGTCTGTCAATTTTATGGCAGGGGACTGGATGTGAGGGTGCAGGAATCTGGTATGGGGTGTATGACTCACTCAGGGCAGGGGATTTGAGAGTATGAGGACTCAAGGCACAAGGTTAGGTTGCGAGGGGCTGCAGGACTTTAGGGATGTGGCAGTACGAGGGGCTCCGGGCAGAGGGTTCAGGTATTTGATCCTCTTAGAGTTGGTGTGTGTAGAGGGGTGCAAGAGTGTTATAAGAGTGCAGCCAGATGAGGGCTGGGCCAGGCTTGTTGGCCAGGCTTCATTTTTAATTAAAGTAAAATATTATGTCCAACACAAAAAGGTTTCAGTGTTGTCTTTATGGCAAGAGTGAGAACCTTTTTTGTGGGGGGGGGGCACTGACCCACAAGAAAAACAGTTGGGGACTACAAAAGTGAGAAGCAAAGAAAAACCTTCCAAAACTTCCCAACCCTTGCTGATGTGTCCCCCAACTAATACATCACTCCTCTGGTGCTCTAGTCCTATGATTCGGGGGCAGTGAGAACTGAGGTTCAAGGCCTCAGGCCAGATTTACGCCCTTGAGATTCCAGGATTAGTGGATTTTGTGGCCTCCCCCCCCCCCCAAAGCTCTGGGGTGGGGCCAAAAATGAGGCATTAAGTGTGTGGGACAGGGCTGCCAGTGAATGGGATAGAGATGAGGTGCAGGCTATCTGGCTTGGGAGTGGAGAGTGAGGGGGTGGGGGTATGGGCATAAAAGGGTGGGGGGCATTTACTTGTTTTTACAGTGCCTGCTACGCAGTGCAACACAGCCTCCTGCTGCTCCATTAGCCAGAAGGAAGCCTCCAGGAAGGATTCGCTGGGGAAAACCACCAGGATGCGTGTCCCTGGAGACACACAATGGTAGTGTGCGGAGCCATTTTTTGGTTCTGCTTGTTCCCCACATATTGGGGGGGGGGGGGGGGGGGAAGAAAGGGCAGCATATGGAGCCAAAATACTTGCTCCCAAATGCCAAATCTGGTGGGGAGGCTCAGGACTCTCTCATCCTCTTCCCCTCTTCCTCCCTCCCCCTCCCCGCCGGAAGCCAGTGCTGGTGTTCCAATCTTGCAGGGGGCCATAAGGCTGTAGTGCCAGCGATGGCTCCGCGCTGCAAGGAGGGTGAGGAGGTTGAATTAGGGCTCTAGAAGAGTCCTATCTGGCTCCTAGTGAACCATATTCAGCTCACGAGCCATAGGTTGCCAACCGCTGCTTTAGGTAAAGTGGTATGGGCCCGCTAGGAGTTTTCCCAAAGCAGGCTTGCAGAACACTGAAAAACACTGAGCTAGGGATACAATTGCCCCTGCTCACATGCAAGTATCTACATTAGCTCTCACTGAGAGCACTGGCTTAGTTTGTACCATCTAAACACGCACCTGAAACTGGTGGGTACATACTCATCACAAATAAGCTGTGCCTCCACTGCTGCAATCCATGCTACTCCTAGCTTCTGTTCCTGTAACTGCAAACAAGAGATCCTAGTGTATCCTGACATCTGTCAACTAGCTGTTTTCCTTGGGTTTAAAGTAGCAAGTCTCATGATAGCACTAGCTCCAGACATTTCAACATCCCCATGTGGATGGTGTTACACGGCCAGAATTCCTGCAAGACGCCTAGTCACTATCCCTAACAAATGGTACTGCTGTAGGGAGTTTAGTGTCTTCTCTTATGGCGATCAGGAGAGATCCCAGATGATTGGAAAAAGACAGATGTAGTGCCCATCTTCAAAAAAGGGAAGAAGGACGATCCAGGGAACTATAGGCCAATCAGTCTTACCTCGGTTCCTGGAAAAATCATGGAAGGGATCCTTAAGGAATCCATTTTGAGGCACTTGGAAGAGAGGAAAGTGATTAGGAATAGGCAGCATGGATTCACAAAGGGGAAGTCATGCCTGACCAATCTGATTAGCTTCTATAATGAGGTAACTGGTTCTGTGGACATGGGAAAGTCAGTGGATGTAATATACCTTGACTTTAGCAAGGCTTTTGATACAGTCTCCCACAATAATCTTGCCAGCAAGTTAAGGGAATGTAGATTGGATAAATGGACAGTAAGATGGATAGAAAGCTGGCTAAAAGGCCAGGCCCAGCAGGTAGTGACCAACGGTTCGACGTCAGGATGGCGGTCGGTTTCTAGCGGAGTGCCCCAAGGTTCGGTTCTAGGACTGATTTTGTTCAATATCTTTATTAATGATGACCTGGATGAGGGGATGGATTGCACCCTCAGCAAGTTTGCGGATAACACTAAGTTTGCGGATAACACTAAGGGCAGAGATAGGGTCCAGAGTGACTTAAACAAATTGGAGGATTGGGCCACAAGAAATCTGATGAAGTTCAACAGGGACAAGTGCAGAGTCCTGCACTTGGGACAGAAGAATCCCAAGCATTGTTACAGGCTGGGAACCAACCAGCTAAGTAGTAGTTCTGGAGAAAAGGACCTGGGGGTTACAGTGGATGAGAAGCTGGATATGAGTCAACAGTGTGCCCTCGTAGCCAAGAAGGCTAATGGCATATTTGGTTGCATTAAGAGGAGCATTGCCAGCAGATCCAGAGATGTCATTATTCCCCTTTTTTTGGCTCTGGTGAGGCCACATCTGGAGTATTATGTCCAGTTCTGGGCCCCCCCACTACAAAAACGAGGTGGACACACTGGAGAGGGTCTAGCGGAGGGCAACCAAAATGATTAGAGGGCTTGAGCATACGACCTATAAGGAGAGGCTGAGGGTGCTGGGTCTATTTAGTCTGCAGAAGCGAAGCGTGAAGGGGAATTTGATAGCAGCCTTCAACTTCCTGAAGGGAGCTTCCAAAGAGGATGGAGAAACGCTGTTCTCAGTGGTGATAGATGGCAGAACAAGGAGCAATGGTCTCAAGTTGTGGTGGGAGAGTTCCAGGTTGGCTATTAGGAAAAAAATATATTTCACTAGGAGGGTAGTGAAGCACTGGAATGGGTTACCTAGGGAAGTAGTGGAGTCTCCATCCCTAGAAGTGTTTAAGTCTCGGCTTGACAAAGCCCTGGCTGGGTTGATTTAGTTGGGATTGATCCTGCCTAGAGCAGGGGGCTGGACTTGATGACCTTCTGAGGTCTCTTCCAGCTCTATGATTTGATTATGATTCTGGTCTGATAGTCTTCTGCTCTTGCTGTAAGTCCAGTATGTGTTTCAAGAGCAATATAACAATGGAACAAATTCCTATTTTTCGTAACAGCAGAGAGGTCTAAATGAGACTAAAGCGGTCATCCAAAAACTGAAAAAAGTTGACAATTTCACACACACACACACACACACAAAAGAAAATTTTCCTTTTCCCAAAAATACTTATGATAGAAAGTGTTCTACCAGACATGACTGGAACATTTTTCACATAGCTATGCCCCTTTCCAAACTAAGGGCACTATCAGAATGCAAGTTATTTGCAATAGTAATTGTTGGATGAATTGAACTGTACAGTTTTAATCTCTAGTTTGCACCTTCAGGACCTGACTGGTTCCAAACTAGAGAATTTTCCTGACAATGGGAGATCAATATTGTCTGGAGGCATTACCAACACTTCCACTGCTTTACAAGGCTGTTAGAAGACACTTAGGGATAAACTGGAGCTAAATAACACAAAAAACCTAGAGCTAGGACTGGTGTCTGTAAACCAACTTGATGGCACCATGGGAAACTTGGCCATACCTATGAAGAGAGGACTAACTAAAATCATTTCGACAGATGTTCCCAGACCAGAGAGGTCTGGACTAGATAGGTTCAACATATACTAAACATTTCTTCTAAGTTACCCATTTACTATTTCCTTCATGTTTCACACAAGTCTAATCTTGCACATTTTTCAGAGATGTTTAGAAACTACCAAAAGATTGCACAGTGCAACATTCAGGACTATAAAGAATTTGGTTTAAACAAACAGAAACAAGATGGAATATTTTAAGTTCTGCATCAGTCACCTGATGAAAAATAATGAAGTTCATATACTAATGTACAAGGATCATCTACGAAAATATGCATCATCCTTCTTGGTTGCAGATTATTTGTAATATTGCCTCCTACAGAATTACCTTGTTTCAATTCACTTTTGCTAACTGGCTCATGGATTATAAGGAGTGTGCACTGGGTGAGGGGAGGAAATCAGGGATTTAGATTATATTCTAAAATTGCAGACCACTGCATGCATTCTGCCACTTTATTCATTAAAGAGACCACTTTGTTAACTGAATGCAGGTTAGTCACAATTTTATATTACATATGATATGCAAATGTTAACATAAGTTTAATCAGATATGCAAGACTGACTTATCGTGGTCCAACTCTATTCTTGAATGCTCTCAAAGATTTTCTCATCATCGGTGCAATTTCTTCAAAGAAAAAACAATATAGTTAGGATAACAGTTGTATAATACTCAAAGTGACTTTCAAAGTAATACAATTAACCATATTATCAAAGGGGAATTATTCCAAAGCTACTTACTTTTTACAGTTTTTTTAATATCCTGATTCACTCCACTTGAATAAGAGCTGGAACTTCCATTTGTTACATTAGTGGTTGTGTTTCTGCTTGGTGAGGTGTTATTTCTGTCTCTGCTTTCTGGATTCTTTGTTCTATTAAAAATAACCAAAATGGAAAGGGAGAAGCATTCAGCTTAAAAACCTCACAGAGGGTTATCATTAACACTGAACTGTTTTCAAAAACCAGTCATTTATGAAACAGTTACCTTACCAGTTACTGGTGTTCTAAGAGATTTGTTGCTCACATGTCCAATCCACATTAGGTGTGCATTCTCACCATGTGCAGAGGTGTTGGAAATTTTTCCTTACAAGCATTCACAAGGAAGTGGCTCCAGCGACCACTGGAGTGGCGATGCCGTTGCACAGTATAAGGGAGCTGCATGCACTCCTCACCCTCAGTTCCTTCTTCCTGAAAATTCCAACCGTGAGGACAGGTTGTGGAATGAACATGAGCAACACATCTTGAAGAACATCAGTTACCAATAGGTAACTTTTGCCTTTTCTTCAAGTGATTGCTCATGTCCATTCCACATTAGGATTCCAAGCAGTACTCAGTGACACGGATAGGAGTTCACAGCCTCAGACTGCAGTTCAGCTCAGCCAAATCTAGCATTCTCTATAGCTTGCTGAATGAGGGTATAATATGCTGTGAATGTGTGTACTGATGACCATGTAGCAGCTTTATAGATGTACTGGATAGATACATGTACAAAGAAGGCTGAGGACAACGTTTGGGCCCTGGATGAATGAGTCTCTGTGATCCGTGGCAGGGAGACCTGGGCAAGGTCGTAGTAGGTCCAGATACACAAAGTGATCAAGTTAGCAAGCTTCTGCAGGGGAGTGTGTGTGGGGGGAGAGAGGGGGGTGGAAACACATGGAGGGGGGAGAATACAGACGTGCCTTTCATCTTATCAGCCATAGCCATAATCAACTGAAATGGCTTATGAAAGGGCTTGGTGCATTTTAAGTAAAAGACCAATGCCTTTCTAACATCCAAGTTGTGCAGCCACTTGTCCTCCTCTGTCTTATGTGGCTTAGGGTAGAACACAGGCAATAACAGGTCTTGGTTCATGTGAAGGGAGGAGACAACCTTAGGCAGGAAGGCTGGGTTCAACACCTTGTCCTTGAAGAAAGCCATATATGAAAGCTCCAAACTTAGAGCTCAGATTTCCAAAACCAGTCTTACCAACAACAGCACAATCAGGAATGCTACTTTCATGAAAAATGAGAGAAAACAGGCAGCCTGTGACAAACAATAGTCCCATGAGCCAGGAGAGGACCAAGTTTAGACTCCACTGAAGGACTGGGTCCTGGCACTTGTGGACAGAGGCATGTTATGTTGAAAGACCACCTGCCCTTGGACCAGTTTATTAAAAGCCCAGATAAACCTTAATAAAGAAGTGTGCCAGGCCTTGGCACCAGAGCTGCAGTTGAGAGTTGAGAATTGACTGTACCAGTGGATGTACTGCAGATATGCCTTGATCCTTCACCCAGAAGGAGAACCTTCTCCACTTTGGCTGGTAAGTCACCCTCGTGGAAGGCTTCCCACTTCCCAGCACAACCTGAAGAATTTTCTTCAAACAGGTACACTCAACCTAACAGCACCATGGACCATCCATGCCACAAAGAACAGAAGTGCGAGGTCTAGATGGGGAAGTCGACCCTGATTCTGCAACAGAAGGTCATGGGGGAAGGGAGATAAACTGTCAGGTCTAGTAATATCCTTTAAAAAAAAAAAAAAAAACACCAAAAAAAACCACACACAACATGCCCCAGGCCTTGCCACGCCTTTGATTTCGATGAGAACTCTGCTGATGAGAAGAATTGACAGGAACACATACAACAGACCTTCCATCCAGGACTGGAGAAAGCCCATAGCCAAATTCCACTGGGAGCAAAAATGGTGGCACTTCCACCAGGCAGAACAGGAAAAGATGTCCATCTGGGGAGTTCCCCACCTTCGAAAAATTGAGGCCATTTCCCTGTGAAGCAACCAATTGTGGTGAGAGCAGAAGCCCCTGTTGAGGTCATCCACCAGGGAGTTCTTAATCTCCAGGTGGATGCTGTGGCTGATAGTAAAGTCCTAAGTCCGAAAGAAGGATCACCTCCCAACAGAGCATGGTGGAATGTGCTCTTCCCTGTGTATGTAGAACATGGATGCTGTATTGTCCATGAGGACTCACGAGGAAGGAAAACCGTATAATCCAGATGTACTATTCTGAACTCCTTAACACTGATATGCAGCTGAGCTTCTTCCAAGATCCACAGCCCATGCCCAAGGGTTGCTGAGGTGCACAGCCTAGTCCAGATCTGAGGTATCCGGTGAGTTCGAAAAAGGGGACTGGAGAGAACAGTGACAAGACCAGGACCAGTGCTGATGAGATGAGGACCGGTGTTCCAGAGATTGGTGCCGAAACCTGGAGACCCTGACCTCTCTTGGCAGTTCCCATGCTGGGAGTGTGTGCCTGAGAGGTTATTGGATTTTAATATGAACATGCAAATCATTGTTGCACCCACTATTGTGTGTTTGTCCCAAATTCTGTACAAAGTGGGCCAAGTGAGGTGTCTATTAAAAGCTTTTGCTTTTCTAGTTCTGTTCATACTATACATATGCATGTATGATTTTATGAGTATTGGTTCTGTACTGGTATATTAAATGTTTACTTCTTAGGGTACATCTAAACTACATTCCTCTTGCGAAAGAGGGATGTAGTCTAGACATACCCTTAGACACAGCAGCAAGCATACTCCTCCAATAGGTGGGCTGTCTACTGAGTTAATGGCAGTACTTCTTTGACAAGGAGCCTTAAGTTTTGCCAATACAATTAGAGGAATTCTGCTGCAAACCTGCAGCCAAGCAGGTATGTCTTGGCCACTTACCTAATAGGACTGAGGGTATGTCTAGATTACATTGAATTTTGAAAACACGATTGCAGTGTGGATGCAGGTGAAGTTTGTTTTTTTGAAAAAAAAAAATCTAAAGAATACAGGAGGTTTTCTGACATTGATTAACTTCAAATTATGAGGAAGAACACCTTTTCCGAAAGAGCTCTTTTGAATAAAGGTGTGTGTGGATGCAGAACAGCGATATTTTTCAGAAGAAAAAGCATTCAAAAAAAGCACAGGTGCCCTGGAGGCCATTCTGTGAACAGCAATCAAGGCTTTCTTTTGAGAGAGCATCCATGCAGTCTGGATGCTCTCTTCCGAAAAAGCAGATCATTTTCTCAATCTGGTTTTGAGGTGTGGATGCTCTTTCGAGAGAAGCTTTTTCAAAAGAGCTCTTTCAAAAAAGTTTTTCAAAAGAAGCTTGCAGTCTAGACATACCCTGAGTCATGCATGGACACACTACTTGCTCATGTGACAATTTCCATTTTGGGAGGTACCTTCACACAGCAAAAACAAATGGTACCTTCACACAGCAAAAACAAATGGGATACCTTCCATATGGGCAAGATTATAAAAAGGGCCCTTGGGGTTCCTCCATCTTTATCTTTACTCCTGCTCTACACTTCAGAAGCATCTTTGCTATGAACAAAGGGCCTGGAAGGATTGTTGATCCATTCTAACAAAGGATACACTCCAGAGACTTACCAGTTTGTTCTCTCTCTGCTACAAGCTCGCGCCAAGAACTTTGCTTGTTAAAGACATTACATTATACAACAATTCTACTCTCAGCCTTTTCTTTCTTTTTAAAAAATAAACCTGTAGATTTTAGAATCTTAAAGTATGGGCACGGTGTACTCTTTTGGGTAAGATCTCGGGTATGAATTAATCTGGGAATGTGGCTGGTCCTTTGGGACTAGGAGAAACTGTTCAGATTTGACAAGATTGGTTTTCGTAACCTTTCATCAGCGTAAAGTGCAGTACTATTTGTGGCACAGGTAAAGCTGAATTGTTCAAGGGGATTACTTCTTGCTGGCCAGCGTGGTGACCAGAAGTGCTCTTTGTAAGGCACAAAACCAATCACAATGAAGGATCTCCACTTTAGGGATGTAAATAGCCCTGGTTCTAAGCAATTGGCCTTCATTTGACCCTCTCAGTGGTACCCCCCCAAGCCATCCTATTACAGTGTCTCAGAAGGTCTGCGTCACTACACTGGCAAAAGCAGTCCTGAGTCCTGCCTTCAGCCCTAATCAGAAGATCGAAGGGAGTTTGCAATGCCTGTTTTCCAGACTCAGACATGGCGGTCTTATAGAGGGGAACACTGATACTCTGACCCCTTCAAAGACAGACTGCCACAGGGAGGATGCCCTGAAGAAGCCCAACACAGGCTTGCCTTGAGACCGGGGCCTCTGTGCCGCTGGCACAGGCATAGACAACATCCTGTGCCACTCACAAGGTGATGAGTTCAAGAGGCCATCATGTCTGCCCAGTGCGGATTCTGTTGGCTGGGCCAAGCTGGGAAGAAGAGCTCCATTGAAGAGCTCTCCAGCCAGCTTCTTCTTGACCTTCCAGGGTGGAAAGAAATGGCCCTTGGCTAATATCTTCACCTTCCATATGGGTCCAGTGAAGGTAAAGTAATGCAGACTGGAGAACGGCCATGGTACCCAAGGTAGAGACTGATAGTGGCTCTGCTGTTGGGGACAGTGATGGAGTCAGCACAAGTGCTTGAAGGTGAATGTCCCTCTCCTTTTTTAGTAGGGGCTTAAATGATCTGCAAATTCAGCACCTGTCACTAACATGCCCCTTGCCAAGACTCCACAGGCAACTCACGCGTGTCACTCACAAGCACATGGCATCTTCATGAAATACAAAGTTTGAGGCCTGCTGATCAGGACATGCCCCATCCCTAGGCAAACAAAGCTAACATCTAATTATGCAGAAGAACTACCTAAGAAGTGCTAAACAGAGGATACCTAGCTATGAAGTCAGCAGTTCAGATGCACTCACTGGTGTCAAGAAGGAGCTGAGTGTGGAGGAGCACAGGACCCCTTATACCGTGCCATGTCAACATGACACCAGAGCCATTCTGCTATACATGCTGTTAGGGGGAAAAAATTCCAATACTGGTGCACGTGGCAAGCATGCATATCTAGAATGCAGAATCAACACTAGCAATCATTCAAAAAAAAAAAACCCACAGAAGTTTAGGGCGGGAGGAGGAAGGTCGTACTGTCTGTAATAACTGCACTTGCTTTGTCTCCCAGGGAACAAAATGAGAAAACTAGTGAAATGGAAATTAAAAGGCACATGCACAAGAAGAAAAAAACCAATAAAAGAGGCTCAAATTAAATGTATATCACAAACTATAAAAACAGAGGGAAAAAAACTGGTAGTTAAGGCAAAAAGGCATCCTTTACAAATTGAAAGCTAATACCATTGAGGAAAATAGAAAGGAGTATAAGCTCTCTCAAATCAAGCCTAAAAGTATGATTACACGAGTCAAAAAGAAATTGAAGAACAAATAGCCAAAGACCCAAAAACTAACAATGAATATTTTAAAGTAAATCAGCAGCAGACCTGCCAATCAGTGAGGGTAATCTGGATAATCCAGATGTTAAAAGAACACTGGAGAAAGGTAAGGCTATTGCAGGGGAGCTAAATTAATTAACCGATTAATCCAGGAGTGTAAAAATCCCATTAACATGGATATGATCCAGAAATAACAGACCCACTCCTAAGCTGGAGGAAGAGTACTTCAGCACTGGAGTTTGACAGAAAGGGATGAAAATGGGGCCTACTACAAACTCACTGAATTCCATATATGTAAGTTTTTATTTCAGATCATTAAAATACTAAAAGAAAAAAGCAATAGCTAAAGTTTAGCTGCATTCTTTCACACAAAGATATTGCTGATAGCATGTGTTTGCTGACGTGACCAACATGAAATCATCTAGTCTCAAATCACAGTACGGAAACCATGTACTTACTTGCCCTTTTCTAAAGGGTGAAGCTGAACAATAGGTCCAGCTGTCCCATAGATTTCTTGCTGCCGACGAACATTTCTGGGTGGTTTTGCCACACTGTGTATGTAAGCCAGTTTAACCTGTCGCCCTGACATAGAAACAAGGGCAAAGGCATTTTTAAAGTGACACACACACACACACACACACACACACACTCAATTAACAGTGTGGAAGTGTGAGTTCCAATACTGAATTAAAATGCTGAACACATCAGAAAACAGTGACAGGTTTACAAAACTTTACATCAAGATACCAAATGAATAGTGACAAAATAGTATAACAAAACGTGCACACTTTCTTCATTGCAACAGTGTCTGGGATGGCTCTGATGGGCCAGGCAATACAAGTAACAGCCAGCTTTGGCTCCTGAGCTCTTAACCATAAAGATCAGATATCGTCTAAAACATGAATCAGTTACATGAAGGAATCTTGTGCATGACCTTCAAAAGAATTTGAACACAAAGAAACAATCACTTTTCCTTGAAATGCATTTTTACTAGTCTATGCAATTAAAAAAAAAAAAGTCTTACACATTGCATTTCTGAAGTGTAGAAAATGGGGGAGAGGAGGTTTAAAGGAAAAAAGTTACCTGAATACTTTATTTACCTTTAGGCTTTTCAGACTGAGCTGAAATAATGTTTTTTGTGAGGGTCTTTAGTTTTTCTTCTCTTTGATTGAAGAGCCTCAAGTACATTTCACGCCAGGACTCATACTCCAGGAGATGCTCATTTTTGAAATCCCTTTGGCAGTGTTTCTTCCACAAATGATCAGACTCTTCTGTGAACGTCTTGGTGTAAAGCAAAAGATATTTAACAACACTTAAAGACTTAGTGTAAAATGTTCAAAAGAGCATATGGGACTTAGTCACCTAATTCCTATAGATGTTGGATGAGATTTAGAATCCAAAATCATACAGGCTCTTGAAAATGTTATGCTCTGTTTACATTGCTTCAACACTGAGAAGCAAGTCAAAGTGACTCTAGTCAACATCTTTTTTCAGCACATGCTATAATGTTCAGCAAACATAAGACACAGGTTATATAAAAGCCACATGCAGCAACATAATGTATCCATTGGTCAAAGATTACATTAAAGGTTGTTTCATTGTACTGTAGACAAAGATGATTAGCCAAAATTTTCAACTTTAGTGCCTAAATCTAGGCACCTAAAGAAAAGTGGCATGATTTTCAAAAGTACTAACCACTCACAAATCCAGTTCAGAAATATTATGTAAATCAAGCCTTTCCACCATACACATATATGGTAGGAGGCAGAGTTAAGGTTATAGCAGCCAATTTACTGTTAGAGCTTCCTGACTTTTCTGTACTTTTCACAACCTGAACAATTATCTTGGGTATACAAATGCTTGAAATAGAACAGACTGCAAATACGATCGTGGATTCCAGCTGTCTCTTTTCTTGTTTATTTTAGGAACAGAAGTAAATTTGTATGCTATGCTGGCTTCCCTGACTCATCACTAGTAACACCCTAGTGCTTCTGATCCTGACATACAGTGAAGAAACCAGGAAGCAGGACAATGACAGTAGAACTAAAATCACAGAGATGAATGTTTAGGGTAGAGTAGACTGTATATAGTTTCTTTCAACAGCTACAAGGAAGCCAAGGAAAAAGCCTTTATTTCCTGCATGGTTCCAAGCTAAGATCAATAAAAGCAGGCTGTTTATACCCTTCATATCCCTGAATATCCAAAGAATCCATTGGTACTAACTTCCCCACCTCATCCCAGACAATTCAGTGTAGGAGCTCCCAGATAGCAAGCGGAGTTGTGGGGGAAGAGAGCTATTTAGTGCAGTGTCCCTGCGTCAGATCCCCTTCTGCTCTGTCTGACAGTAGTATCAACAGACCCCAGTTCCTGCCTCCAAGCAGGAGTTAAAGCAGGAACCAGAAAAATGAAAACCATATTCTTCCAAAAACAAGCTGTGGACATTCATTGAGCTAAACATGAAGCTAAGAGCCAATTCTTATTCTCTGGATCCCAACAGGTACCAAGTTTCACCTGAAGGTTTGTTCTGGGCCTTTTCGTGTTAACACTTCTGATGCCCTCTGTACTTTTCCTTGGTGGTGAAGGAGACATTTGTCCAGTCAGGGTAAAACAGTTTGAGGCTATGCTCTGCTAACAGTTTAATAGGAAATGGGCTATCTTCACTAGGAAAAGCAGAAGATTGTAACAAGGATAAAAATAGTGAGAGGAATAAAAGTAAAGCTAACAGAATTCTATACATATCAGACTTAAAATATAAGTAAAGATCAAGGCAAAAGACAGTATAGAAGAAAGTGAGGATGAACAGATTAATTTTTAAAAATTCACCCTCTTCCAGCCCTTTGTGTACTGTCAATTTGGATTACAAATCTTCTGATGCTGGGATCTACCCAAGCATATATTTTATGAAGCTTGTACCGTACTTCTA